TAAATATTTATTATTAGTAATAGTAGTAGTATCATTATTACTATTATTCTCTTTTACTATATTTAATGGTGAAATATAAAATATTCTTTTATTTGTTTGTAAATGTTCTAAAATATCAAATCCTTGTGTTTGAGTAAGTAATATATCAATTGGATTAAGACATATTGAATAAATACTAAAAAATGAAAATTCACCCATAAAATGGGAATTTTGATTTAAATGAAGTTCCAATATAATTTTTATTACTACTTAAGTAATTATCTTTAAGTTTATATTCAATATTTTGTTCAAATAAAGGATTAATTGAATTATTATAAATAATTAAATGAATAATAGGAAGAGTATTTTTTAATTCAAAATTAATAAATATTAAATACCATACTTTTGGATGAAGAATATAATTAAATGAAATTTTTAATTCATTTAAAGTATTTTCATTAAATACTAATAATAATGAATTATTCTCAAGATATAATGTTAATGAATTTCCTTCACCAATAAAATTAAAAATACATTGTTTTGATTCAGATTCTAATGAATATGAAAAACAAAAAACAATTGTTGTTGATTTAAATTGTATTGTTAAAGATTGAGAATATATTAATGGTGATCCAATAAAATGAATTGAATATGTAGGTTTTTGTAATTGACTTGATAATAATTTATATATTAATTTAATAATTGTATTTTTTCCTTTTCCTTCTTCCAATGCTTTAGTTAATTGTTTTCCAGCTTGAGGTAGTGAAGAATATAATAAAATAATTTCTAATAATTGTTGTAATTGTTCAGTAATAAGTGATGGATCATTTTGAGTAATTAAATTAATAATTTGACAACTACAATATTTAGAAACATAATACAAATTTAAATTAAATGAAATAAATAATTTTTCTATTGATAAAAAAAGGTCTAACGGACATATTTTTAAAGACATGAAATTAATAATAACTGGTAATAATTTTGGATAATGAATTATTGAAACATTATCAATTTTATACATTTCATTTATACTACTTGAACTAATTGATTGAATAAGTTCTTTAATAATAAGAATATAAAACTGTTTTAATTCCATTAATTTATTACTAAATTCATTAATAAAATAATTAAATACTTTTTTATTTTTTTTATTTTTCCATGTAATTCTTAATAATTTAAAAATAAGTTGAATATATTCTTCATCAAAAGATAATGGAATTAATGATATTACTACATTATAAAAATCTTCTTTTACATTTGGTATTTCTTCTCCATTAAACACATTATTTATAAGAATTATAACAGCTTTTTTTGCTATTTCATTATTATTTCTACTTGCAATATTAACAAATGTCATATATTCAAATAATCCATTTTCTGTTGTTGAATGAAGATAAAATGTTGCTAATTGAAGAAAAGGTTCTGTAACTTCTTTTAATTCTATTTGAGTTATTAATTTAAATACTTCTTCTCTTAATTTTATATTTGAAGAAATTAATGCTGAATGTAAAGGTTCATTAATTGTATTTAATATTAATTTTGAATACCATGGCATTTTAATAAATTGAATTAATAAAGGATTTAATAAATATTCTAATAGATTTATTGGTAATAATAATTTTTGTCTTCCTTGAAATAATAATAATGAATGACAAAATTCATTAAATACTTTATTACATTCATTAATTTGTTCACATTGAATAAATATTTTTAACATATGAATAAATAATGGTAATGACTCTAAATCTAATCTTATTGGTTCTATAAATTTTTCATATGAAACTATTTCTTTTAATACTGAATTTCTTTTTAATATAAAATTAAAAAATTCAATATATTTATGTTGAACAATTCCTCTATATCTAAATAATTCATTTCTTCCAATCATTGTAAATAACATCATTGCTAATCCACATTGATATTCATAAAATATTATATCATCCATTTCTGCATATTCTTCTAACACTCCAAATTTATTTAATATTTCCTCAAAAAAATTACATGAATTATCATTTTGAATTACTTGAGATGTATAAATGTTCATAACAATTCCATTAATTATTGTTGCTTCTTCTCGTTTATTTCTATTTAAAATAAACGTTAAGAATTTATTAAATATTTCTATATTTTCTTCATTATTTATTTTATATAATTTAGCCCCTTTTACTGCTCCACAAATCCAACTAATACTTAATTTATTCTTAATATTATTTATATTTTCTTTTCCATCAGATTTCATAAAATCATTAATGGATTTAATAACCATATTCATTACTAATTTCATTCCATTCTCATTTTCTCTATAATGACTTAAAATTTCAGAGTCTGATAATAACTTATTTACTACACTTAAATATCTATCTCCTTCATTTAAACATTTATTTATTATTATTTCTATTTCGTTTTGGTTTGTTAAGTTTTGATTCTTTCCATTTATTTCAATCTTCTCTATCATTGAAATTTGTTCTTCTGTTAACACTTTCTTCTCTTCACTCATTTCGTTTTTCTTTCTTTTTTTTTCTATTTTCAAGATTATTAGATAAAAATCTTTATAACTTTTCTTTAGTTTGTTTTTGTTTCTTTTCAATACTTTCAATCAGGAAACATCTATTAATTTTTCGGTTTTAATTTGTATTATTAAAGAAATTATTAGATTTTTGTAATATATAACGAAATAATTCATTATTTTTAAAAAAAAGAAAAAACAAAAAAGATAAATAACAAAGAAAAGAGTATTAACTCAAAGAAATTAAATTTCAATAAAGAATCAATCAAATAATAAATAATCAATCTATGTTATTTGAATAAATTCTTAATAAAAATACTTCGATCAACTTCCATTAATTTTTCATTATATTCTACAGGACATTTAAAATTTTCTAATTTAGGAAATACGATGTCTGTGTTAACTCTTTTCTTTTTCTTTTGTATTTGTTTTTTTGTGTTATTCATCATAGGTTGACCTTTTCCAGTTATACCATAATCAACTGCATCTTTAATAAGTTGTTGATAAAAATCTCCATCATCAAATACTTCTGAAGAAGAAATAAGGTCTTCATTCAAATAAATTTTAGTTCCTCTTAATTGTTGACTTCTTCTAAACAACCTTTCTTGATCTTTTAGAATAGCATTAACTTGTTGAACAATACCATTTTGATTTGTAGAGAATTTTGATATATTCATCATTGTTGTTTTTGAATGCCATTTTTCCATGATACTAAGTCGTTGTTCATCTTTCTTTTTATTCACTTTCATTAATTTCTCTTCATCATTATCTGTTATTTATATTCCCATTGAACTCCCCATTGTTTATCTATTGTTTCACATAACTCTGTTGTTCTATGGAAAAGGTTTTTAAATGAACT